ACAGTCACACTGGATCCTGTCGCAACAATTTATGAATTATCTTAGGTTTTTGCTGTATTGTAAGAAATTTAAAATACCCTTTCTAAAGATACAAGCAAGATTTTACTATTGACCACAGAGAAATAATATACCTCTATTGGTGCAAAGAATATACTATTGTTCTGCAATATTTATGTATTTATATTTATTTATTAGACTGTTTAAAGAGGGTAAGAGTGTCTGGTTACATTTTACAGTTCAGATGTTGTCTCTGATTTTGATTCATAGATGTATATTTCTAACAGCTATGTGTAGGTAACAGTGTGCATTGCAGAGTAGATAGCTTTATCCATTTGGTGAATAATAAATAAAATAAAAAAATATTAATTAAGATTTTAAAAATATGTTCTCAGTTACCATAACTTGAAGGGATACCCTTAAAGCACAGCATGTAGGGCTTTAACAGTAAAATTTGTCTTTTAGCACAGTAGAAAGACAAAGCAGAGTCCTTGAATGTGTTCCAGAATTACCATCAGACTTTTTATCTCTCTCTGCCATTCATAAGCTAAGCATTCCTGATCTTCAGGTTACATCTTTATTGAGATGGATTGCAGCAATTGATTTTTAAATTAACTCTATTACTTAAGATTGACACAAAGTAGGAGCAGGCAGAGCAGTAATAAATATTTTAATTTTCTCTGTTGAGGTCTGCTTATATTTCCAGTTTTGTGGAGAAAGTTTCTGGATTTTATCACTGTTCCCAGAAGCCTCATGTAATCTGTTCCAGAACAAGACAGTCTGGAACATTGTCACAGTTTTCTGTAGAAGATGGAGAGTCATAATGCTTTCAAAGTATTAAAAAAAGAAAAAAAAGCAAACTTCTTAATGCTTTGCCCAGGAGGGGAATTCAGCAGAAACCTCCAGCTGTATCAATCAGTCAAAGACTGGTTTTTTCACCTCACTTTTACAAACTAAAAATTCCATTCACCTTAGTGTTGCTGCCATAAAAAGAGGAAGAGGAAGGGCATCATCAGAGAAACATGATTGCTCTCCTCTACCAAAGTCCAGCCAGCTCACCCCAGGGAGGTGCACATGCTGCAATCAGTCAGGTCCAGGTTGCTCTGCATTGTATATAAGCCTGAGATTTCAGTTTACAGCAGATATGTGTTTGGCTATAAAACCAAATGCAAAAGAGTGCTTTCCTTTTAGCATCAAAGATTTGAGTTCTTGGGTGTATTAGAGTCAAAAGAAGCTGAGGACCATCAGCATTTTATGGACCTCAAGTATATTCTTCGCTAAGAAGATACTTTTCTGGATGCTATATGGTCATAACACATGCGTCGACCCAAAACTTTATGTCCACTCTTTGGTGGAAAAACCTGCCAGGCTACTGTTGCCCTGCCTGATATGAAGTACCTCACAAGATTAAATCCAAAAATTAACTGTTCAAGTGATTTAGAAAAACAATAAACTCTAAGTCCTTTAAAGCAGGTCTTCATATATGACCTTCTTCATTATGAGAGTAGAGAAGCAGGTTAAAAAAGAGAAGCTATGTGCACTGTTCACAGGTCAATTTCATATGGTTGGCTTGTACTAGAAGTGTATTTAAACACTGGTTTGGTTATGAGTCTTCTTGCTGCTCAATCTTCTCTGTAAATTGACTCATTAACCTGTAATAGCTTTGTTCACTTTTAAGTCCTTACTGCTATCATTTTTTGGTATAATGTGACGTGCTGGAATGTATCGACTGTGTGTAAATGGCCTAGATGTGAACAATTTTCTATTTGAAAAAATAAAATTATATCTCACTCTCTGAAGTCCCTGAATCATTTCCATAGCAATTTTGCTCCACCAATATCTACAAACATAATAGTGTGTGTCTAGGAAAGATCTATAGGTAAGAAATTGTATCGGATTCTTAATTCCTATACTGGTAAGTAGATTATACCATCTTGAAGCTCACAGATTCGTTTTATAGTTTAGGAATAATGACACCCTGCAGGTAGACAGCATTCAACTCCACCTTTAGCACAAGAGGTTACAAACTCCATAAGGTCAAAAACTTCCTCACATTCTTAGCCAGGAATTCACCACTTAATTTCCTTATGAATAACATGCCAATTAAAACATCTCCTTGAAGACTTGAAGGAAGTGTCATTGTGTGGATCACTAAGAACTGGTGATCAAAACTTTAACTGCCAATTTACATTTTCCGCTGACTTTACCTCTATCAGGTCACCTCATTTTCTTGCTTTCTACCAGTGGGAGAGCCTTACAGAGCAAGACAATGTGCTGCTTCAGATGAGGTAAGTGGATAAGCAAGAATTGGGGCTTACGTTAGTGCCTGTACCATTCTCCCTTGCTCAGTGACTCTGAACTTATCCTCATTCTCATATTCAGAGGAGAGATGGACAGCTGCTTCTCTTCAGAGTTCAAAGTAACTTTTGGCGTATTTGAACTGAGTTTTTTCTTCTACTGTCTCGTCCTTTTGCTTCCACCTTGTGTGCCTCAGAGGCAGATGGGTGGGGTGGTGACCACTCTGACAATACCATGCAAAAGTTTTAGGACTGGACAGGAATTACCTGCCTGCTGGGTTTATTAGAAGTAATATGCTGAACTTTCATCCATGTTCAAAACGTTGCAGACGTGTTTATTTCTCAGCCAGCTGGAGAACTTGACTGGCCCTTTAGTAGGATGTGGGTAGAAATGCCACCACAGGAATTTACTAAGGCTCCCCACCTATTTGCAGCATGCACACACACATCCTTTCCCCTCTTCAAAAGATCATAGGTCCAAAAATCAATTAGACATGAAGTTCAGGAAAAGGATTTTGTAAGCCATTATTTTGACTCAAGATCACTTCATCTGCTACCAAGGTAAAGGAATGCCTCAGTGATTTTTAGGGTATTTGGCTAGGTTTCTCCGGGCACAGGCAACAAACTTTGAGATCTTGTGCTTTGAAACTTCTGCTTTTTAGCCCAATGCATATCTGATTTCAACTAAGAATTTTGCTTTAGTTTAGCAGTCTCTTTCCAGTAACAGGATGTGGCTTGGCAGATTGGAGATTCTGTGTGCGTTTAAGACTTTCCTACTATTAAGAGCTAAAGCTGTCCCTGCTGGGTTTTGCGTGGATTATACAGTTTTTGCATAGTTGGGCACAATAGGTTTGCCATGTTCACATGCAAATACTATCCCTCAGTCTTCATGGCTGCCACATCTCATGAACCTAGATCCTGCTGACAAATACGTAGTGATAAGTGAGGTATTTGCTGGACTTCACCTAAATGTCTTTGCATAATATTTAGGACCAAATTATGGTTTCCTCTGTTGGTTCTAAGGAACTGCAAAAAGAGACCTGATGGCCCTGTGTGCCAGCAGTGCGCTTGCTGGAATATATATTCATGTAACAAATGATGTACAAGCTTGCAGGCACGAGTGAAAAACTCACTTTCTTTCCTTTGAAACTTCCCAAATAACATAGCGCATACAGTCACACAGATTAATTATCTTTTGTCTTTCAGCCACATGAAGAGGAGTGGGCCTTCCTGGTGAAAGTCAAAACCACCTTCCTGCAGGACAGGACTGGAGGTAGCTCGTGTTTCCCAGCCTCCTGGGGTGCCAAGCAT